ATTACAGCTATTAACCTCAATGGAAATAAAAAAGAATTGGAAGGGAGATGGGAAATAAAATACCCAAGGATCTTTGCTAGTCTTCTCAAAGACACAGAAAATAGGCTTGATTATCACATCGAAATGCTACAGAAAGTAGTGTCCTCGTTTCTGAAGACTGACCTTTACATATGACAGTGAGCTAAGATATTACATTCTGAATTGAAACACAGGAACGAGAAGTAGGAATGCAGTGCTCAAAATCATCACTGACATTTTAGACTCTGAATGAACCCTTGCTTGAAAAAAAGTCCTCTTAGTCTCCTATTTTTGTCAACTTATATTGCACCCGCAGTCATTTTTAAAATATGTATTTAAGACTTCAAGATCAATGGAAATACATCAATATTTTTTAATTACAGTGGAAATTTTGTCCCTTGTGTTTAGTAATCCAATCACATGAGCACTGAGAGCCTGACAGTGAGAACTGAAATCAAAAGTAAAGTTGATTTAATTGATTTTTGTTGTCCAAGCTAAAGGAAATGATTACTTATGCCAACTGAAAACAATATAATAAAAATATAAATACTGGAAAAAAATTAAAAATCTAGTTTAAATAATTTAAGGAGTTATTTGTATTCCAGGTAAAGATATGTATTTTCAATACAAAGTATTTAAGATAATAATTTAAAATGTTCACTATTATTTATATTAGAGGAAGAATAATTTTACCTATTTCCATCATACGAAGCAAATTTTAATCTTAGCACAAAAGCAGTAGTCCAGAGTAGGGATGTAAGCAACTAGTTGACTAGTCGACTACCTGATAAGCCTAGGCTTATTGGGTAACCAAGTCACTACTTGACTAGGACCCAGTGCTGGAGGAAGCCAGCTTAAAAACCAGGTCCTCCCAGCACCGTCTCTGCAGAGGGCAGGGGAGGCAGAGGTGTAGCAGGGGGAATGGCACGAGCCGGCACTAAGCAGTCCTGGCTCCCACCAGGTCCCAGATGCTGTGGCTCTTCTTTTTAAATGTAGTAAGAGCCTGGCGGCTTTTACTACATTTTAAAAGTAGAGCCGCAATGAACCTCCTTTATCAAATTCCATCAACTACTCAATTAGCTTCCTAACTGCTATTTAACATAACTTGTCCAGAAGAAGTATGACAACACAACAAACTGTATCTTAGGTGATCTTTCAAAAACAAACAAAAACCCCACCCCCAAAACCCATGAAAGAGAGCCAGATGCACTGAGTCTTCTCAATCTAACCAAACCCCACCTCCCTCCCAAAAAAACACAAACCACCTCCACCATGCTTGATCTATATGTCTAGCCTTGCAGTTACTTGAAATGCCAGATCCCAATATCTTCAGAAAAGAATGATCCTCTGAAAACATTAACATATAAACAGTAGTAGGGAGGTAGTAAAATGTGTGGAGCTTACATAAGATATCTTTTTCTTTCTAATAAACATTTACTTAACATGTACAGGTACAGCTTAACAAGTGTTTTACTTATTTAAAAAGTGTCTCGCAATATAATGTATTTTAAATCATTTTAAAGAGTCCAACTCGACCTAAAATTTAAGTCTGTAAAGTAAGTACTTTACAAAACAAATTTTTCCACCTTTGTTCTGTTTGTACAGTACCTCAGACAACAGAATCCAGGACCATAAGAGGCGTTCCCTAGGTGTTACAATAATACACATAAATAATAAATAAAATAAATAAATAAATAAATAAATAACAGATGTAAAATGTTATCTGCAAAGCTC